TGATGGTGTAAATTACTTGACCGGTCAAACTATACTAGACCGGGTCTAGAATAGTTCGCTTGATTTGGCAAAGTAAGAAAGGTAAAAACACGCAAATTGACCGGTAGGATTTTAGGTGGAACACCTGTAACCCAATTTATATTATAACGGAGAATGCACGGGTGCTTTTACAAGGGAGTTTAGAGAGAATGAATTCGGATCCCTCTTTCTGAGGTTTACATGAGTATTTATACTAGGCTAAGGGAACAGGACCACGTGCGCCCACGTGGAGGCACGTGTCTCGAATGTTGAGAGGTGATGGGCCTCGTCTCTTAGCTACCTTGTCGCCTTGTGAGGGGGATTATTCCCTTTGTCAGGTAGTGCCTTGGATGGATTCTTCAGAATCTCCAGTCGTCCTCTACTGACACGGGTCGCTACACGCCAAGCCCTCGTAGATTCTCCTCTGCCGACACTTTCCAACCTCAGAAACTACACCGGGTAATCTTCGAGAGGTGAATTCATCGAAGTCTGGAATAAATAGGATGATAACGTAATTTGACCGGTATACTTTTTTGTGAAGTGTACCGGTCAAATTTTGGCCGATGACATATCGTTTTGCTGACGATTTAAGTCTCCCTTTCAAAACTTTCGAGATTGACCGGTCAAAGATTTGTCCTCCTCCTTTGACCGGTCTTGGGTGAAATACACCCATCAATAATGATCATATATCTTTTTGTTATATACAAGTCCAGAGACTGCTCCTGATGCGTCATTTTTGAATCGTACTAGGCATTTATAGAAGTCGTATTCATCGGCATGTCCACAATCATAATCATTATTGTTGTATTGTTTATCTAAACGACATCAGACTACGTGTGTAAACATAGAATTGATGTCAAATTATATTTTTTTTGCCCTCAAATTGACACCACACATTAAAAGGTGATTATTTGGAGAAATACATCCAAAAAAGAATGACCAAAGACATAAAATATTGATAATAAAACTAAGGGCCTGTTCTTTAGGGTTGGAAAAAAAGAGCTGGATGTTGGAAGAAACTGGAAGAAACGGGAAGGAATTGGAAGAAATTGCAAAAAACTAGAAGGAATTGGAAGGAACTGAAAGAAACTGGAAAACCTGAAAAAAAATTAAAAGAAACTGAAAAAACTAGAAAAAAATGAAAAATTTAAAAATAGTTTTTAAAAAAAAATTATGTGTGGTTTTATACTATTCTCATTCTGATTCTTGTTGTTATAAATTTTTGTTATTATTATTACTATTATTATTATTATTATTATTATTATTATTATTACTCCCTCTGTCCTAAAATTAACTTTCATTTGACTTTTCAAGGTCTCTAATGCGACACTTTGACCATCAATATCTTAATTTTTATAGAAATATATTTTATTAAAATTATATATTTCAAAACTATGTTTCAAAATGAATCTATTGCTAATAAATTTATATGAAAATTCAACGTATTTTTTCCATAGTATACAATCAAAGTTTATCTACAAAAGTCAAACTGAGAAGTTAATTTTAGGACGGAGGGAGTATTATTATTGTTGTTGTTGTTGTTGTTGGTGGTGGTGTTATCACATTATCTTAATGATTATCTTAATGATTGTCTTTAATCCGAATCGAATATATTCCTATTTGTATTTGATTATTATTCGAATAAAAAATAATATTTGAATTTGAATTTGTATTTGAATAACGCGAATTCGAATCATCATATTCGAATACGAATCGCGAATTGAAATTTATTGTGAAATTTTCACAAATTTATTGTGAAATTTATTGTGAAATTTAATACGAAACGCGATTTGTTTACCTCCCTAAAAAAACTAATTGTGAAATTTATTGTTTACCAAATCATACAACTATTGGTGCAATAAACTAATTTCCTCTGTATGCTTCAGGTCCCACGGAAGCACCATTCCAATTTTTTTTTCTTTTTTTTTTTTCGAAAAAAAATTCAAATTCAAATTTCACTGAGAACGGATCCGAGGAGGAAAGTGAAGCAGTAGATTAGATACGTTGAAATAAGGGCGTAAATGTAATTACGACTCGCATCATCCCCTTCTTCTCTCTCGCCCAATATAAAGAAAACATCTATTTCTTTCTTTATTTCTTCCCCAATCTCTGAATCCGCTGTTTCTGCCGTTTTACAGTGATCCACTGCAGGTCCGTCTCATATTTCTGCACTTCTCGTATTACAATAAATTACCCATTATGTGTTTTTCAACTCTGTAATCGAAAGCTGGTTTTGTTATTTTTTTAAATTCGCTTACCTTCATTCTTGAAAATATTATTATAAAAATTGGAATATAATAATATTATTATTATTATGTAATTCTTTTATTTCTTACTGATCTACCGACTCTTGATTGCCTAATGAGATTGCTGAGTTGTGTGCTTCTGGGCATTTGGGAAATGCATAAAATTTTCACTTTTTTTACACAAGAAAATGAAGATCTTTTGAAGCTTTGTTTTGATTTATATCTGATGAATGGATTCTGCTGATGGATGAGGTTTGGATTTCCATTTCAATAGGATCTTCAATGGTTATCTGATTAGATGTATTCTTTTATGTCAAGATTCATTTTTTAGCTTGTCAAACTGTAACAATGGCGAAGACATGGCCTGAGGGCTGTGGAGATCGCCATGTGGAGTGTAAAGAATGGATTTTTATGGCAGGGAATAGTTTTGGTCATTTCCCATCCCACCCCTATTAATTACACTGTTTTGTTCCCTAATCCCTTTGTATTGGTTGTGGGATTTTTGGAAGAGAAGTGAAAGTGAGGAATTATAGGGAAATACACAATATAACTAAGAACATACTTTGTATTTTTCTTGATGGATGACACTAAATATTTACTCCGTATAAATTAGTAAAAATCAATTTCAAACCAAACGAGGCTTAAAATCCCACTCTTTTTTATTCTATGGTGGGATTACACTGCTTCTTGTATTGTGATTTTCATCTTTGATCCATGGATTTTTCTTCATAGCTGTGATGGTTTTATGGTTGATCGGATTTCTTGCAGAGCATATGGTTGTTTTTATGTCATGCCGTTTTGCTAATTATCCCTGCTAATTTTGTTCTCTTTTGTGCATAGACTTTGATTTTCTGGAGCACAAAAGTACTAGTAGGGCGTTGGCATTGCACAAAAGTTAAACATTTGTGCTTGGGAGGCGGAAAGGATCAAATATTACGAGTTTGGCTATGGTAATTTATGAACTATTCATGAATTTAACAAACCGTTTGCATTGTTATTTCATTGTCTGAGTAACTTATAAACCATTGTTACTTCTTGTGGTTGGTTCACTTAGGCAACCAATGAAAATCTCCCACCAAATGTGATCAAACAGCTGGCCAGGGAATTGAAGAATCTTGATGAAACTCCACCAGAAGGCATTAAAGTTAAAGTAAATGATGATGATTTTACCACTATTTTTGCTGATATTGAAGGACCAGGTAACTATCATTTATCTGCTCTTCTTCATAATATCATTCTTTTTGTGTGTGTTTTTTTATCTCTCTGAAATTTCTTACACTTTTCAGCTGGAACTCCGTACGAGAATGGTGTCTTTCGCATGAAGTTGATACTGTCCAACGATTTCCCGCACTCGCCTCCCAAAGGTTGTCTTCAAATTCTTAACACTTGAAACATAATAAAATATTCCATAGTACTCCATAGTAAATGCTAATATTGTTTATGTTGTTCTGTTATTGTTTGCTTTTATCTAAAATTTTTGTTTAATTTGACTACTTTTTTGGTCTGTCTTAGGATTCTTCCTCACCAAAATTTTTCATCCTAACATTGCTGCGAGCGGTGAGATTTGTGTGAATGCTCTAAAAAGGGATTGGACTCCAAATCTGGGCTTAAGACATGTGCTAATGGTAAATTCTCTAGCCTATATGTCAAAGTTCATTCTTGTTTTTCATTTTAAGTATGGCTAACACTATGTTTGGTTCATGGGGTTCGAATGGAAATAAGAAAGGGGCTTTCTATGCTTTTCCTCACCAAAACAGAAGGAAAATCATTTTCCTTCTTTGTCCATTTCTTCTCTCATTTTCTTTTCCTTGGCCACTTATCTTTTCTTTTCCCCTCTAACCAAACAAAAACTTGTTTTCTCTCTCATTTTCTTGTCTTTTCAGTTTCAAATTTCTTGAACCAAACATATTGTAAGAGTTTCAAGTGGGTTTGTATTCACGCTATGTTTGCACTACTATGTTTTTATTGATAGGTGGTCAGGTGTTTATTGATAGAACCATTTCCAGAATCGGCTTTAAATGAACAGGCCGGGAAGATGCTTCTAGATGATTACGAGGAGTACGCGAAACATGCAAGGTTAGCTGGGGCTTTTCTTTTTTGAACCTATCATACCATTTTTATCCATCTAAATCTATGAAAATGCATTCCACAAGAGTGAATAATGTTCTTCCACAACTAAAGATGACATTGGGGTTTCAAGACAGTTTCTGGGCTTGTAATGGATGCGATGCGATCCTTGGATTCTTGTTCTTACAGGCTCTTTACCGGGATCCACGCAGTGAAGCCAAAGCCGAAACAAAAAGGTGGGGCCATTACAGAATCAACCACTGCACTGAACATTGAAGAACAACATCAAAAGACCAACTCCTCCTCCTCAACCTCATCATCATCCTCCTCATCTTGTCTTGATGCCAAGAAGGGTCCGGTTCCAAGTGGTCCTCTCCAAAAACCGTCTTCGCTTGCCCCATTGTCGAAAGGAGGGAACAGCATGGACCCACCACCACCAGCCGCAGCGGCTTCCCAGAAGAAGGAGGCTGTTGGGGTGGGAAAGGTGAACCAGGTGGAGAAGAAGAAGATGGATGCCCGGAAGAAGAGTTTGAAGAGATTATAGAGGGGGAGAAAACCTCCCAAAGTTGAATAACAGTTTGCTTGCTTCCTCTTTTATTTGTTGAACTCAGAAAAAAAAATGTTTTGTTGTACTATTATTTGTTATCCACTTTGATGTTCTTGGCACCCTTATTCCATCCTATTCAATGTTAATCTTTGTTTAGATGAAATCATGCGTGGTGTTTCTGACTTCTGAGACACAATGGTGTCAAAACGGTAGCGTTTAGACATAACGTTTTCAAAGTTAAGCTTCATTATTAAAAAAATATTTAAAATGCTAGTGATAATTGAAAACAATGTTCTCAAACAAAGCCTTATAACTTATTCTTTTCAACTTATTTTTATTATTTATTACTTATTCTTATTGGAATTAAATAAAAAGTAATTTTAAATATAATTACAATTAGATTAGACTTATATCTTAATAAAATTAGATTAGATCCAATCAGGCCAGACGAAGAGAACAAACTCGAAGTGTGGAGGCTGTTTTTCACATAGATAGTGCGGAGTAATTGTTGGCGAGAAATTATTGCCTTTGAGATTTTTCAATGATTGAACTGTCTTTAAGGATCCGTTTGATATACGGAATTGGAATTGAATTAAAAATTGAAATTCTATGAAATTGATTTGAATGAAATTATATTCTCAATTCATTTTTGGCACTACCAATTTCAAATTCACATATTTTTGTGCTACCAAATAGCAGGATTAAAATTGTTGTCTTAAATTCCAGTTTCATAGTTTGAATTCTGTGTACCAAACGGAGTGAGCCTAAGATAATAGTGGTGTTGATCTTGATGTTATTGAAGCATGATCTAACATTTTATCGAATACAAATAAAAGAGTACAAACTATTGTGTTATTTTTATGGGCAAGGTTTCGTTGACACTGAATTTAGTGACAATGGATGACACTCACCCATTTTAGGGCAATTTCGGTACTTCGTTTCTAAAATTGATGATTTTCACCCCCTAAACCTCTACCTCATCCCCACCCCTGCCCCCTATTCCCTATTCCATGTCCCCCTCCCTAAGGCCGGCCTCCAAATGTGTGGCTATTATGTATTGCATTGCATAATAGCCACACATTTGGAGGGGGGGTTAGGGGGGGGCAGGAAAGAGGGTAGGAGTAGGACCTATCAATTTTGTAAAAGGAGTACCAAAAGTTTCCAAAAATGACAGTGACACCGAAGTGTTAATATTCGTATTTCTTTTTACTCTCTCCGTCCTGAAATGTTCTTCTCACTTACTATTCACACGGTCAAACTTTAATCACTTTCTTTACGTATTTTCATTAGGTATTTGATAAAATAATATAGTCTTGTCACCACTTATTTTGTATTGTAGAACTTTTGATGTAGTTTTTAAATATATAAATTTTATTTTTTAATTTTACACCTACAATCAAATAAATTGAATTAAAAATAAAGTCGGTCAAACTTCGTAAACAGAACCGGGAAGATCATTATAGGACGGAGGGAGTATTTACCAACTGAGTACTCGTGTTTCTTTTATGGATAGTTCCTAAGAATTTTCTATGCTTCCTTTTAAGAGAATTGATTATATTGTTTATTTTTAAAAATCAAGATAAATTTCAATCACAATTTTATTTTTTTTAGATGTCATGTGAAAAACAAATAAGAACTTGAGGTCTTGTTTGACATATTTGTGTTAGGTATTCGTGTTGGCAAGATAAGTTGTATACAAAACTTAAGTGCAGAGTGCATTTACACTTTAATACGTTAATGGTTAACATTAATTACTTTGTTTATGTATACGTTTGGAGTATGTTCCAAAAAATCCGTTTTTAGATAGGAGTAATTATATTCAATGCACATGGAACATGGAAGGGGACTTAAGTTGGCTAAAATAAAATTAAATTTGTTGACTCTTCTTCAAATTCTTATTGATATTAACTAGTGATTAAACTAATAACGAATCATTCTAAGTTTTGGTAATAAAATGACTACCAAAAAAGACTAATTTAATTAATATAGTTCATATGAGGGGTTAATAACTTGGGGAGTGTTTTAAATGCTTAAAATAAGCAAAAAAAACACGTAGACATTTTTTTGGCATAATGAGCATGTTTGGAAAATGGCGGTTGAAATAGGTTTGGCTTATTAACTAGTCAAAAAAGCCAATTTGGTCGAATTAGCTAAAAATAATTGTTTGGATAATGGCTTTTCAATTTGGCTATACAATCCACCGGTCAAAACAGCTAATACAATCTATCGGTCAAAACAGCTTACTCAATCAGCCGTTCAAACCAGCCAACTGCTAACCGCCAACCGTTTTTATCCAAACAAAGCCAATATTCATATTTCCTTTTCCAAAAAAAGACTCCTCATTTGCTTTTCGGGACATTTCAAAACAAGACTTCTTCTATTTTTGAAAAATTTTGTGTAGCTCATCTTCTTTCTCTCTTCTCTACGTCACTTTCAACCATAGAACTTCATTTTTCTTAAACTTTGGGTCAAACTCAAATACGGGGTTTTTTTAGACGGAGAAACTACTAGGAGGTATAAGATAAACTTCATGAATTCTTAAGTAAACCTTAGAACCATCAAAGAATTTGTCCATTGCAAAACAAGAAAACAGAACAATCTAGCAGTAGTTTGTCCCAAAATCAAGCAGGCATAAAAGATGAATGCAACATGTAACCTCAATTTAAAAGGCCAAAAATGGCATTCAACTGTTACACATATAGAATGGCAAGGAGATAGTAGATACACACCTGATAAAATTTAACTACCCTTACAATAGAGAGAAGTAACCATTCAACATCCAATGTGAAACCATACAAATTAAAAAAGGATTATAAGACCTGGGAAATCCATTAAGCTCAATACATCAAAAATCAATACTTTTTTTTGTCAAGTTTGGGTGTGTAACCACAAGACAACATATTTAAAAATTTATAAATNAAACTCCTCGTAGTTGATTTGACCATCGCCATCAACATCGGCCTCCCTTATCATCTCATCAACTTCTTCGTCGGTGAGCTTCTCGCCGAGGTTTGTCATCACATGGCGAAGCTCGGCAGCAGAGATGAAGCCATTCTGGTCCTTGTCGAACACTCTAAAAGCCTCTTTCAGCTCCTCTTCAGAATCGGTGTCCTTCATCTTCCTAGCCATCAGATTTAGAAACTCTGGGAAGTCGATGGTTCCATTCCCATCAGCATCTACCTCATTAATCATATCCTGTAGCTCAGCTTCTGTAGGATTCTGCCCCAGTGACCTCATCACCGTCCCAAGCTCTTTGGTAGTGATGCAGCCTGCAAATCACCATGTGAATTAACAGCCACTCGATGCCCAAAACAGTAACAGAAAATACTAATTAGCCAAATGAAACATAAGAACTAGGTTACGTTCCAATTGCAATCGCACTTCTCCGTGCAGCAAGGAACAAACAACAACAACAACAAACAACCCAGTAAAATCCCACTATAGTAGGATCTGGGGAGGGTGTGTGTACGCAGACCTTGCCCCTACTCGGAATTAGGGAGGCTGTTTCCAAGGAACAAACAAGAAACAGAAAAACATAGTACAATCTCAACTCTGTTGGGATCTGGGGTCAAGATATACACACCCTTACCCATGTTAAAAAAGAGACATTGTTTCTCTTAGACCGCTGATGCATATACTACCTAATCCTTCATTGAAAGTAAGAAGCAAACGAAGTTTAACGTGCCCTTTTGATTTAATCCACTAGTTACCCAAACCTAAAACATTATCAATAATGACTATTTAATCTCCACAATAATCACACTTTGCAATCTCGAGATAAAACAATGTACTCCATATGCAATAAATGTGTGGCCTTCAAGTCATTCTGCTATAGAAGAACGACGGAGACAGAACAAGCTATCATTCAATTCTCAACTCATCTCAAATTTGTTGCCTTTTGGTTAATAGGCTGGACTTTGGAGGTCAAAAAACAAACCATTGACATGTTCAACATGCAAATGCATATAAGTATATTAGATTATTAGCTACATACATATAGGGGTGAGGCTTTTGTGAAGAAAGTGAACTGGTCTATTTTATATTGTGTCTAGCAGGTTTTAATTGTCCAAAAAAAGATGACACCCCATCCCTCAGGGCCTGGCCAAAACAGTATACCTGAGAGGAGGTAAATGAAACTCTGATTTTAAGTGAGTAATAAGGAATGAGATATGTCCCTAGTCCCAACAAAGGATGTTTATGCAGAGCATAAATCATCCCAGACTTGCCTTTGCTAGGAGTCAAACCCAGCCATTACACATTTACACCCTTTCGTACCCCCACTGACCACTTGAACAACGCCCCTAGGTGGTTTTAATCGTCCACTTTACAACTTACGTAACTCGTAAAATTTAAGGAATAGTTAAGTAGCAAAAAATCCTTGAAACTGACCTGCCTTTCATGGATGAAAACAATGCCATTTTCACTTTAACCCAATATTTTTGACAATTCACAATGATTTGCTCACTAAACATGCTAGGTGGTCAACTAATTCCAGATGTCCAAAAAGGAGAAGTAGACAGCTAATATAACAATGATTGACCAAATTATTCCTCCAAACAATGATACTATGACAATATCTCACCAAATAATCCCCCCCCCCCTCCCCTCACTGGGAAAAAAGGTCCCTATGACCTATTTGTCTTCAATAACACGAAATCAGAATCACTTTTACCAGAACAAATCAGGAACCAACACAAATATCTGTTCAGCGGCAAATCAGATCCAAGAGTTAAGCAATAAAGACACAAATAATCCAAGCCTCCAAAAACCAGCTAATCGCAATCCAATTCCTGGCGAGTCTCAAACAATTTTTCCTAGACGAAATCAGATACGAACAAAATGCGAAAAAAACAGCCAGATCTGCGCGCGCGCGCACAATCATCCAAACACAAGAAAAATAAAATTGAAGACGAGAAACGAAAAGCGAAAAGAGGAGAAGAGAGAGGGAGAATCGAACCGTCGCCGTCCTTGTCGAACAGGCTGAAGGCCTCCTTGAACTCGGAGATCTGATCGTCGGTCAACTGATCGGCCATGTCTGCAACTTTCGTCTTCGAGAGAGAGAGAGAGAGAGAGGAAGATGGAGGGGGGGATAAGACGATGGAGAAGGTGGTGTGGGAAATGGGAGTTTAGTTCTGTTCTACGCCTTGCGTTTCGGGGCAACGAGAGGAGAAGAGAAGAGGGGGCTTTTTTAATTAATAATACTCCGCGTTTTTCTCCTCCCGCTTTTCCAGCTTTGCCCCTCTCTCTTTTCCGCTCACTTTGCGGCCTTTGTTTTCTTTACTTATTATGCTATGTGTACACCAAGATTTGTACCCCAATTTGTACCCCGCAGTTTTGCACTAACATTTTGTGTTGGTGTAAAACTAATTTTTGTTAAACACACCAACATTTGTGTCCGTGTGAATTTTTATTTACGCACCAACACTTGTGTCGGTGTAAACCATCGAAATATTTGTGCAAACTTGTGGTGTACAAATGGGGTATATTTTTTGGTGTAAGTGTAGCATGGTCCTCTTTACTTTCTCACCCTTCATATTTACCTTTCTTTTTTCTTTTCCTTTTTTTCCTAAAAAAATTCAAGAATAATACTCCCTCCGTCCTAAAACTTTCTTCCCGTTGCGCAAAACGAAGAAAAATTCCAAGTTTTTTCAATCTATTTTATTTAAATACTGGTATAGAAATAAAAAAATAAAACATACATATTTAAAAACTACATCAAAAGTTCAACAAAACAAGTGGTGACAAGAATATTTTATTTTATCATATAGGCCATGAAAAAACACAAATAAATATAAATTCTCGTGAAGTTGGAATAGTGTTCTGAGAAGAAAGTTTTAGGACGGAGGGAGTAATTTGTTTGGTACACTGGGATTGAAATTAAATTGAGAGTTGAAATTTCATGAAATTATTTTGGATGGAATTGAGTTCTCCAATTTAAATTTATTTTTGGTTTTACCAATTCTAAATCTACATATTTTTGTAGTACCAAATAGTAGAATTGAAATTCTTATCCTCAATTCCAATTTCATAATTTGAATTTTGTGTATCTAACGGAGCCTAAAGTCCCGTTTGGTACATGGAATTCAAACTATGGAATTGGAATTGGGGACTTCAATTCCAATTTTGGTGTTTGGTAGCACAAAAATTATGTGGATTTGGAATTGATAATGCAAAAAATGAATTAGAATTGACAGAATTCAATTTTATGGAATTGAACCTCATGAAATTTCAATTCCAATTCAATTCTAATTTTACCAATTCCTTATACCAAACGGACCCTTGTTTTTTTACGAGTGCTTCTTTAATAGATCAAGGATCTACACTAATTTTCAGAATTTTTGCATAACCTACATTTTTTATTTATATTTTTTTTATAAAATAGAAAAGCAGTAGTAAGCAATTGTTTATCACCCTCATCTCTAGGTCTATAGAATTTTGTGTGAATATCTCCTTTTATATTATACTTGTAATACTTAATTTCAATATGTTTTAATCCTTTAATGGTTTTTTATATCTCTTATACTCTGTAATTCTTTCTGTTTTTTTGAAACTCATCAGGTTTCTTTTAATTCTTAGTTTCTTCTAAGTTATTTTAGTTTTTTCTAATAATAACTTAAAAATTATTTGTGTACATTTTTTATTTTACTATTATTATTAAAGTAAATTTACAATATGAGTATTATGTACATCTTAATTTATAATATAAAAAAACTCAAACAAAAAAACCAATATTTATTTTACCTGAATTTAGTTTTTTACTCATTTATTTGGACGATTTTTTTCTCTTTTAAATAATGTATTTGTTTAATTATTTATATCCCTGTATTTAAATAATTTGTTTGGCATAATCAATGAAAAGGATAAATATGTTTTTAGTCTCTGCAAATTTAGCAATTTTTGTTTTTTATTCCTCTAATGTTTTTTAATTAAATTACCCCTGCAAAATTATTATTTTTTCAATTTGTCCCACCCAATTATATTAAATTTTGATTCCTTTAAAATCTATAAAAAAAAATTAGCTCGTCTAAAACTTCTTTAGTATATCTATTCCTATTTTAAATTATAAAATACTCTATGCAAGATTAATTTATTCTTTATATATTCAAAAATATACTTCCTACTAAGGCTCTATTCTTTTTAATTGGTAAAATATAGTTGGATGTTAGAAAAAATTAGAAATAGTTGGAAAAAACTAGAAGTAATTGGAATAAAGTGGAATAAGTTGAAAAAACTAGAAGAAGTTGGAAGAAGTTAGGAGTTAGAAGTAAGTGGAAAGAATTGGAAATTTTTTGAAAGAATTTTTAAAAAATTAAAAATGTTAAAATAATTATTTTATTTTATAAACTTCATACTCTCCCCGTCCCTTGAACTCCTTTCCTTTTCTTTTTTTTTCTTGTCCCACTAACTTCTTCCCTTATCAATTAAAAATTACTTTTAGTCCTTACTTTTTCATAGTCTATCTATCACATCATACCTTTTTATTAATAATCTATCGATCACATTTTACTTTACTCATCACATGAAGGGTATTTTTTGGAAAGTCAACACTAAAATATTCATCCCTTAATTTTCCAAAAAGTCAATAAGGAAACAACTTTAAGGGACGAAGGGAGTATTTATTTAAAAAATGTATACTCTACTTTTTTTTACTTGTAAATAATTTTTTAAATTCTTTTATGCCATTTTATTTTATACTCCCTCTATCCCATTTTATATTGTATGTTTTCCTTTTTTCTCCGTCCCAGAATAAGTTGCATCTTTCTTGTTATCATAAATCGTTAAGAATAAAATATAGCGATATACGGAGTAAAAAAGATATTAAAAATTACGAAGTAAATGGTACTAAATGGTTAAATTTTTCAATGATTAGTTATTATTTTTATTTTACTTTTTGAATGTATATATGAGTTGTTATTTTTATTTCATGAAGCTAATAATTCTAAAATAAAGTTGTTGATTATATTACATGTTTACAAATTAGTTATATGAATGGTCATTATAATATTTAAAAATTATTAAATTATTGTAATAATGTTTAGTTTAATTTCAATCAAATAACTACGGGTACCCTAGATTTCCATGATTTAAACATTATTTTACAGAAAAAATAACTACGGGTACCCTAGATTTTGTGATAAGAACTGCCAGGTCCCATTATTTTTTAAAATATACAACGAGGTACCTTAAAATATCAAAAAACTACTCCAGAGTGACATTCCGTCACTTTCTCCGTTAATCTCTTGTTAACTCCTCCTCCTTCCCCAATTTCGATCGGATCTTCTTCTTCTTCTTCCTTTTCTTCTTCTTCTTCTTCTTCTTCTTCTTCTTCTTCTTCTTCTTCTTCTCCTCCTCCTCCTCCTCCCTCCTCCGCCTTCGGATCTCATCCAGCCCTCCACCCTCCCTTTTTTTCTTCTTCTATTTTTGTTTTGTTTTGAATTCTTTTTCCTTCTTCTTCTATTATTATTATTATTATTATTATTTATTAAGTATTATTATTATTATTAAAATTAATTAGTATTTTTACCACTTTAATTTTTAAGAGAAATAGTGGAGTAGCACTTATTATTATAACTTCATATTTATTATTATTTTCTTCTTATTCTATTATTATTATTATTATTATTATTATTAATTACTCCGTATTATTATTTACTTCTTATTATTTTACTTTTCTACTATTGTTTTAATATATAATAATTATTATTAAAAATTAATGAGTAGTTTTATTACTCTTTTTTAAGAAAAATAACACTTATTATTATTTATAAAAACAGCACTTATTATTTAAAATAAAACTTAATATTATCATTATTAAAAAAATTATTAGTACTTTCACTATTCTAAATTTTTGTCATTCAATGTTGTTTTTGCAGTAGTCATCGATACTCGCCATGATGAAATGCGATGTATAATTTATAACGAAGTGAATAAATAATCTTAATTTTATAAACTATACATAAATATATCATACTAAAATTAATTTTTAATTAAAGCTTAAAAATATTTTAACCTTCTTTTACGAAAGTGAAAAATTGGAAATTGGAAAAAGTCAATGGGGGCATACAAAGTAAAATAATAGAAGAAAATAAAATAATAAGAAGTAAATAGTAAGTATTAATGTTATGTTTCTTAAAAAAAGAGTAGTAAAACTAATAATTGATTTTTAATAATAATACTCCCTCCGTTCTCAAAAACACTTCCTCTTTCTTTTTTTTTCACTTTCAACAAAACACTTCCCCTTTCTATTAAAAAATCACTTTTACCCTTACTTTTTCATACCCTACCTATCACATCATACTTTTTCTCTAATAATAAATACATCACATCTTACTTTTACCCATCACATCAGAGGCAAAATTGGAAGTCAACTATAATTTTACACTTCCTTATTTTGCCTTATAGTCTAAGTGGGAAGAGTTTTTCCAAACGGAGGGAGTAGTAATTATTATTAATAATAAAGATAATATGGAGTAATTAATAATAATAATAATAATAGAATAAGAAGAAAATAATAATAAATATGAAGTAAAAAAGAATAAGAATGGTAAAACAACTAATTAAATTTTTTATAATAATAATAATTAGTAACAAATAATAATAATAGTAATAATAATAATAATAATAGGTAAGAAGAAAAAAGAGTTCAAAAGGTGGAGGAGGAGAGGATCGGAGAGAAGAAGAAGAAAATCAAAATTGGGGAAGGAGGAGGAGAAATTAACGGAGAAGGGAGATTAACGGAGAAAATGACGGAATGTCACCCCGGAGTAGCTTTTTTGATATTTTAAGGTATCCCGTAGTACATTTTAGAAAATAATGGGACCTGGCAGTTCTTCTTACAAAATTTAGGGTACCCCGCAGTAATTTTTTCTTTTTTGACACATACTCCATAATTCTTATTTACAAGTTAATATTGCAAAATACTACTTCGCATTGACCAACACCATTGATGGAATCAAGTACAATATAGGGCAGCCATTTGTACATCATCAAGAAAGGGGGGGAAAGAATATAGGGCAGCCATAATAGTAAAAAGAGCCATGCTAGGGGTACACCAAATGTGTACCCCATTTGTCCCCTACCTCATTCTCCACCATTCATTTTTATCTACTTTTTATTTATTTAATTTTTTTTTTAAATTTTTTACCCATTTTTGTGGTAATGGAGGGGGTGGGGGACAAATGGGGTACACCTTTGGTGTACCCCTAGCATTTTTCTAGTAAAAAATATGTGATGTGTAAAAAACAA